CCAAAAAAAATATTTTTGTTGAACTTTTTCTAGTTTGTAAACATTGACTCAGAAGTTCTCTTTCCTGTTTTAGGCACTTTCAGGCTGAGATATGCACCTCTCCCTAATCCCCCTGATTCTTTGGATTCTGCTGACTGACACCAGTCCACAAAAAAAACAAAACAAAAAAAAACATGTACGTTGAATCTACTTGTAAAGTTACCATATGGAAGTTTCACTTTCCTTTTCATGATGGGTTTAGGAGCTAAAGTTTTTTGCCTCTTCAAGATGACAAGAAGCCCATTTCTGTGCCATGAAATTGTGTACCTTGAACTGAAAGAAATGTTTACATAGCATCCCTGTGTAAACAGGCCACAGCCTTACATGAAGAACAGTGGCAAAATAACATGCCTAGGATGGTTGGACCTACAGTGTGGTGGATGAACAGAGATGAAGAAGAACCCTAATGTTGTGCTAAAATCTATGTCCCCAATGTTTCATTGACAACTCCCTTGTTTAATCCTGTGACTGATCTTTGACTCTGTAGTGCATCTTCTGTCCAGTGCACGTTGTATGATTATGTAAAGCTCTCAGCTGTACATTTAAAAATCACAGCAGAATTTTGGTGTGTAACAGGAAGAAAGAAAAAAAAAAGTTTTTAATTTTAAAAGTGTATTGAAGATGCCATTCTTCACCCTTCTGAGTTTTATGTATTTCTTAGGTAAAACCATGCCTATAAAAAGTAAGCGCTAAAACCTCCAAGTCCAAACAGCTAGTGAAATATCTGAATCTTTCGTTTCAGATGGCGGCTTGGAAGACATCTTATAACACGTTATCCTGTTGATGCAGAGAGCCCTCTTTGCATCTGCTGTTATGTTAACTGCAACAGTTTGAAGTTTGATTGAGAAGTATTTTTTAGTTTCTAGAAAACAAAATAACTTACGTTAAAGGTTTTCTTTAAGCTTAACTGACTGCTGTTGAATTGAGACAGAAGTGTTCTGTCTATGCAGTCAGTTTGTGGATTCTCCACGTGGCAGAACACAACGGTGCTTCTGCAAGACCTATCCAAACCTAATTTATTTAACGCTCAAGACGTATTACAGTATTTAAGTATGAGAAGTTTCAGTCGTTTATTTTGAGGACTATTCTTGCTAATTGGCAAGAGTAGCAGAGTTACTATTTAATTGTTCTGTTTTTCAAATCTACCACTGAGAATATCTCATAATGTGAAAATCTTAATATTTTTTGTGTTCTTTAGGGGTGGTTCAAGGTGGTATTTTTTTTGCATGCGTCAGTTGTCTAAACTGAAAACCGCTACATGCATGCCCATGTTAATCTGAAAATTGCTGTGTCAGTATGTGTGGGAAAACACCCTGCCCTATCACATAAGTAATCTATACTACGAAAGCTGAATGCCTCATTTTAGAGAAACGCACACTTTTCTGATAGAGTATAGTGTTTGCCCATGTATGCCCATTCCACTGCTGAAGCAATGGTCAGATAAAAGGAAATTTGTAGCGAGAGAAAATTAAGAGCTGCCTTCTCAAAATGCTAGTTGCCTGACAGTCGTTTTCCATGTGTTTTTCTAAATGAATGTCCCCGAACAACCATGCAGGAGAGGAGTTAAAACTCCTGATCCGCATATCTGTTACTGTAAAGTATTGAATCCATGTGAAGACCAGGCTACTAGCATTTTCAAATAGAGAGGTCAGTAATGGCAGCCTTCATGTTTCTCACTGTACAGGTTTTTGTTTTTTTTTAATGTGAGGAAGCATATTGTAGTCTTCATTTAAGAAATTTCAGTGTGCAAAGACACCAGTCTGTCTTAGTCAATGTCATGTCATCATAAGACAATTGCTGCTGTTTTACAGTTTCTATATATATATTTTTAACCAAGCCAATATATGCACTACAATTTCTTGATTCCAGGTAATGCTTGACATACCCTTGTGCACTGAGGTTATCTGGGAGATGAGTGTGTATTCTGTGTCAAACAGCAGCCATTTACCAGCATCATATTACTGATTTTTGTTTTCCTTTTGCGCATTCCTCTTAACTTTTTTTGCCAGATTTTTTTATTGTAGGTCCTAATTAGATTCTTTCACAGCAGGTAAATGTAAGCCTATTATAAACAATTATTTAAAAAGGAAATATGGTGACTTAGACCGTAGAGAACAAATTTTAATGTAAAATCTTATTTCAAAAGGTTGCTTCATGAATTTCAAATCTTGAAGGAAAAAAAAAACTATATATATATATATATATTGATGATATCTTTATTTGAACTATTTTTGTCCTCCCCAGATACACTTCATCAAAATATATATATTTGAGGATGGCAAAATGTGTAGCTGACATTAGAAAAGTTCACAAAAAGCTTTAATTTAAGAGGAAGAAAAAAAAAATCTTATTTTATTTGATATTTTTGGATATGATTAAACACAGTGAAGGTAGTACAAGATTCCTCTTCGGTTAGATTAAGCAGCAAGGATTAAAGCAGCAACAAGGAGATAGGAGGATTCTGCAATACTTCAAGAGTGAGGTGTTGCCTTCTCTTTATTTGTATGTTTACCATATTCTTTGATATTTCAATTGTTATGTACTGGAAAGGTTACTTATATTTCTAGAAAAGATTTTGAATTTTATGCAAACTTATTTCCTTGAATTAACAGCAATAAAAAAACAGGAAAGCATTTTGTGTACGTTTCTCCTTTTATTTATATGTGTAACCTGGGAAGGCAAAGGTGATTATCTTGTGAAAAAACCCAAGGTCAAGTGATGTTGGGCAAGAGTTTTAAAGCTGAACTTCGGGCTAAATGGGGACCATTTACACCCCCCGAGGCTAAGATTCTGACTTTTCTGGTGACTTTACTAGGTCTGTGAGTGCTTCTTGGGCCTTTTGGCATTAGGTAACTGTTTTACAGATTTGTAAGACTGCCACTTGGTCTTCTGTTCTGAGTTTTACCAGGTGGCTGTTCAAGTCTTATCTGATGCCAGCTTTGGGCATAAGGTCCTCCAGGCTGCTCTCATTGAACTGCAGGCAGCCTCCAGTTTTATTTTATGTGGGCCTGTTGGGGTTTTGTTAGCCCACCCCTCAGTTGGACTGCTTTTGGATGCCCCAATTGTATCAGAATAACTAAATCCTGTATCCCTTTAATGAATTTAAAAAAATTTAATTTGTATTTGGAGTTCATTAACCACTTCAAGACCAGGTGTTTAGACCACCTTCCTGGGCCAGGCCATTTTTCCATATTCAGCTCTGCGGTAATTTGACTGACGTTTATTCCGTCATGCAACGCTGTACTGAAATTAATTTTATACAATTTTTTGGGGACAGATAGAGCTTTATTTTGGTGGTATTTAAACACCACTGGGTTTTTATTTTTTACTATAATTAGGAAAAATTACTGAAATTTTTGAAAAAAAAAAGTTTTTTTTAACATTATGTTAGGAAACACTTATTACCCAGTTTTTGGGTAAAATATAAAAGTCGGGGTTACGTTGGTTAAATAGACACCAAACAGGTCAAGCTTTAAAATTGCGCGCACCTGCGACATCGCAGAAAACTACCATACCCAAAATTGGCCATAGGCGACACTTTAAAAGCTTTTACCGCTCATCAGTTTAGTTTTATCAGTGATTGATGGCCCTAGACTTATTGCTCTCACTCCGACGTTCGCGGCGATATGTAACATGTGCGGCGTAATGGGCGCAATCGTCTTTTTTGCACGTATGCGCCCCCGACGTATGTTTGTATGGATGGGGACTTTTAAATTTTTACATTTTTTTTTAAAGGGGGGGGACTTTAATTTTTTTTTTTTTTCACTAAACTTTTTCTTTTTTTTTTTCGCACTAAACTTTATTGCTATCACATACAATCTACTTCTAAGCCCTAAGTACTGCATTTCTGCAAAATTGAAGCATGCTGAGAGGGGTTATACCTGGCTGGGCATTTGGCTTTTTTGTTTGCCAGTGTCCATATACTCCTGTAGACTGCAGTATAACCCATTTGTATCAAAATAACTGAATCTTGTGTGCCTTAATGAATTCCAAGAAACCAATTTTGTTACAAAGTATGAAAATCCAATTTTCTTGATCGTACATCAGAGGGCACAGGAAGGTAATTCTTTAACCACTGGGGTTATGCCGCCTACCTCAGTTTATTGCCAGTGTTACTGGGTAATAATTGCCTTCTCTCTGCTCTGAGAGAAGTACAACCTTTTTTTTCACTATACTTTTTTTCTAAAAGACTCTTGTACATCACTTCCTGTTCATTCATCATTTTTATAACATAAGTTGCTTATTTACAGTTTTTTTTTTCCCGTTTCACACATCAAAAAATGGCAAAGTTTTTTAAAGTCTCCCACCCCCCTTGTGCATCCATGCAAAAATGAAAATTCTGCTACACGTTGCATATCGCTGCAAACGTCAGTGGTTCTCAACGGGTGTAACCTCAGGACCCACATTTGTCCTTGGTCATTAAGTCGTGACCCAAGTAGCACAGCAATGGAACACACGGCATTAGGCTACTGCGTGTTCTGGTGCAGATGTACGAACTATGTGTGGGAGGTGCATTTGGGGGTACCAATAAAATGCATGGCAAAGCAACAGCCTGGATACAGTGTACGTCGCCAGCATCGGGGCTGTTTAAACAGACTCCAGGCGGCTATTGCCGCCGGGACTTTGTTTAAACTTGTAAAGCCGACTGTAGGCTTTACAACAGAAGCGATTCTGGCGACTTACCTGTCGCCAGATCGCTTCTGTGTTCCGTGGAAGGGGCCGCCGCCCGGGCTCCGTTGCCCCTCCTACGGGCATGGGACCGTCTTCCTTGGTGTCCGTGGGGAGGAGGTCGACGAACTTCCGTTCATCGTTCCCCTCCCCGTTCCATGGGAGCGATGCAGATTGCATCACTTCCGGACCCTGGGCTGTCAGTTCTGGGCTCCTGCAGCCCAGCTATAAGCTATTGAATTGCGATCTGCACTTCAATAGCTTATTTCCAGTGTAAAGGTGACACTGGGGGTCTTTTGGACCCCCAGCATCACCTTAAAGAGTACCTGTCACCACCATCTGCTATCACATGGGGGGGGGGGCTTGTAAGCCCCCCCCCATGTGATAGCAGTCAAAGTAAATAAAAACTTTTTTTTTTTCTTTACATTAAAATAAATAATAATAATAAAAATGTTAAAGTCCCCCGCCCCCGTGAGCACGCGCGTCGCCACGTAAACATGCGTTGGGTGCGCCTACGTATGAAAACGACAAACGCGCTACACATGTTGGGTATCGCCACGCACGTAGTGAGAGCAATAATTCTAGGGCCAGTATTTTGGGGTATCTCTAAATTGATGACCTGGGGGGGCTTTTAAAGCGTCTTCTATGGACTTTTTGGGGTACTGCAGTTTTTCGCCGTTTCACGGACGCATGCAATTTGTAACCTGGGCATGTTGGGTATCGTTTTACTCGTAACCATCTTTTATATTTCATTTAAAAAATGGGTATTTTGTTGTGTTTTGGGGCATTTAAATGAATTTTTCACTAAATGTTGGGGTTTAATAAGGAGTTGCACTAATATTGCGCAACATAAAAATTTGCAACTACCACTATTTTAGTCTATAGGGTCTTGGCATTCAGAAAATATATAATGTTTGGGGGTTTTAAGTAATTTGGTATATATGTTTTAAGTTATGTGGAATATAACATGGGTGCAAAAAATGAAAAAAAAGGCCTCAGTCATGAAGGGGCTAAACAAGGTTTGGGTGGTCAGTGCAACAGCTTCTATTTCCAAGTCAGATTCCCTGAGGACCCCTGGATGGGACAAGCAGCCTCTCACTCCGCTTTTGCTAGTTGGATTACTCGGACCATTATACAGGTCTATGAGCTGAAGAGCAAAGTTACCCCTTTCCTGGTCAAAGCGCATTCTACTTGGGCCTTTGAGCATTGGGCTTCGGTATCCTAAATCTGTAAGGCTCTCACCTGATCCTCAATTTACACCTTTGTAAGCTTTTACTGGGTGACCGTTCAAACCTTTGCTGGTGGCAGTTTTGTCCATAATGTCCTTCAGATAGCCCTCTGACTTATGGGCATGTCTCTGTTTCTAGGTCCCTGTTGGAGTGATGGTCGCTCTTCTTGGGCCTGTTGGCCTTGTTGCCCACCCATTTGTTGGACTGCTTTTCTACTTCCCAGTGGTTCAAAAGTTAACTCCCTGTGATCAAGAAAACAGGATGTTTTTCTTACCGGTAAAATTCTTGGAGTACGGTACAGGACAC